ATGGCCAGATATTCAATTACCAGTTCTTTTAAGTGTAGATACAACATGCAGTTATATTTCCAGAAGATAAGAAGATTGTCTTTCTTATTTTCACTTCAGTATATGGGAAAGATACTTCTGTACCTGGCATTCCAAAGCTTGGGTCTGATTAGCATCTTCTAATAAGGATGAACTAATATATGTGGTTCACTGAATTATGCTAATGGTTCATTGGCTCCCATCACTGGTAATTAAACCATTTTTTTATAAACAATCAAGCTAGCATAAATTTATCCCTGTTATAAAAATATGCATTATGCTGGAATTGAGCTTATAAGCTAGTTTATTTGATTAAGATATTGGTATGAGCTTTTTAAGTTTTAAACAGCAAGGTTGCTTCATTTCAAAAAGATCGTCAGAACAAGGTTACAATGGCCAGTGTGTTGTTGTCTGCACTTATTACATGGGTTTAAGACTCAATATCAGTAATAAATAGAGATCCTTCAGAGCAGTTTCATCAACATGAAATGTTAAGTCATTGTGCTCGTACTTATTGAGCAGATTTGTCACAGGTTCCATAAAATAAACAAAGCACTATTCTACCTTGTAGGAACTTGCATTTTTTAGGTCTTGGGAGCATAATGATCATTCTTAAACTCAGTAGCAGGTGTACCATTATGTGACAATACAATTTTAATATAAATAATGAAATGTTGCATCAGGAATTGCAGTGACAATTTTTATTGGGGGAGGGGGTGCAGAAAAATTTTTTATCAATATTTTTACACATTATATTATATTTTATACTTTATTTTAAAAACTTGGAAAAAGTGTTTGGGTCTCAACACCCCACCACCATCACACCTTGTTAAGCAGCGTTATGCCATTTGAATTTTGAAACGTTTAGAAATAAAAGAAGACGGAGAAGCAAACTTAATTGTTGTTAAAAGAAAGTTATAGTTTTTATCCAAGATTTTTTATCAGTTGTTTTAAATTTTAAACAATTATAAGCTACAACAATTAAGTTTGCTTTTTTGTCTTCTTTTGTTTCTAAACGTTTCAATACATATAATATATATATATATATATATATATATATATATATATATATATATATATATATATATATATATATATATATATATATATATATATATGCATGGAAAAGGTGCACCTGATGAAATTGGAGGTTGTATCAAAAGAACCGCAGACAGATTGATTGGGCGAGAGAAAGATATTCCTGATATTAATTATTTGGTTGAAGAAATAAAAGAAAAGTGTCCAAGTATAACCATCTATACTATTAACAACACAGATTTCAATCTCTATGAGAAATGTGTACCAGAAAACCTAACAACTTTCAAGGGGACTTTACAAGTTCATGAGGTGGTTTGGAGTTCCACTAAAAAAGAAATATTGTATATGAGAAGGCTGACATGCACTAATGCACTGACATGTGACAATGATACAAAATGCAAACACTATAGTATTGGAGAAGTACTAATCCCTGTAAATTTTTTGACGTATCTTCATCTTTGTATCTTTTTTATGTATAGCTTTTAGAAACTTAAGTTTGCTTATATTGAATATTGTGTTATATTGAACATAATATTGAATATTATATTTGCTTATATTGAATATTGCAAACTTTTGCATTTCTTAAATGTTCTTTAGTTATTTAGTCAGTAAAAATGTTTGAATAATATCGTTTTCCACAAGACTTACCATTCAAAAATATTTGCTAATTTACTCACTAGTAATACTTAAAATTATGTAAAAACTTGTACCTTGTACTATTTTATGTCAACTATTACAAACTGCTGATTAAAGATGGTTATTATTTTTGTAAATTATCTGACGGACACTTAAAGCTGTTACAGCATAAAGCAATACTATTCATAATGTCACATCTGTGGTAAATTTGTCACGTCTGTGGATTACGCTAAAAGTTTTTAATTTTTTTTTGTAAACTGACTTTTAACAAGGTGTGCAGATACTTACAAATGATTAAATATACTTAAAGCTATAACAGCAAAAAATTTGGTTCAGAAATTTTAATATTTAAATTTTATAAAAATATTGATTGAAAATGTTACTTTTCAGAAGAATGACCCTTATATGTTTTGATGAGTTAAAAATTTCAGAAATATTTTGAATGTAGAAACACTAAGCTAAACTTAAACTAGGAAAAAAATTAAAAAAAAAAAAACTAGCGAAAAAAAAATTACTAACGAAAAAAGAAACGAAAAACAAATTCATAATGAAAAAGAAATTATATAAGCACTAAAATGAAAATAAAAACTTTAAATTGAAGCAAAACTTTTTGTTACGTTTTTAATTACGTTTGAAATAAACGTTATTGAAGCTTATCTTTTTAGGCGTTATTAAAGTTAAGCAAAAGTTTTTAAATAAAGTAACAAATTACTTCTAATGATTGGTTTAATAAAAGAACAAATTTTATTAAATTTATCAAAAAGTGTTTTATATAATATTTTTAAATTGTATAAATATTTATTTTGTCAAAAAAGTTGCAAAAGAAAAAATTGTTTAAAAAAATAACGTAGTCTTTTTAAAATAGTAATTTTTACTAATTTCATGCTCTAATTAGTGAGTCTAATTAAAAAAAAAGGTTTTAAACTTTTTTATTCGTAAAAATAGAAAAAAAAATAAATAAATAAAATGCACCTACAATTTAAATAAAATAAACTGCCAACAAGCTTTTTAATTTAATTTTAATTTGAGCATTACAACTTAATGAGCGCTTCGCGTAACGAATTTAAAAATTATTATAAAAGATTTAATCTCATTCATTTCTAACAAAATTAAAAAAAAAAAAAATTGTTTACAAAAAATAAGATGTTAAAAACATTTTAAAAAATCGTAAGTTTAGTCATAAAAACTAATCGTATGAACATTACAAAATGCTTTAAAACTTTTTCATTAAATCAACAAAATACATGCTTATATAAGTAAATAAAGTTATTATATATTCTTGTGTAATTCACATAAAATGTGTATAAGTTAGTAATCACAAAAGCTTTTGACAAATTAAAGTAACAAAAAATTCTTTCTAAAAATAATGGTTTAAAAATGTTTTAGGAAGACATAAAATAGTTTCAAACGTTTACATTTATCATAAAAAATAAATGCCTACATAAAAAAACTTATTTATAACGTTCTTTATTAATTTACACAAGCGTTTATGTAAACTATAACTATAACTAATTTTATGGTTTTATTTAAAGCCTTTGCGTAAAATAAAAAACTTTAGAAAAGATCAACGATTAAAAGATATTTATAGTGTAACACTTTTTTTATTGCATTCAGATTGTTAAAACATCAAAATAGCCGTGGTCAAAATAAAAATATTAGAGTGGTCAGTTACAGAGTATGATTGCATGCCATTCCTGTCCACGCCTGTGCCCCCTCCCCATTTAAAGAAATAAGAAGAATGTTTAAAGAAAAAAAAAAAGAGTTTAAATAAAATGTTTTTTTTTAAAAAAGAATTTAAAAAATATATATATATTTAAATTTTATTTATAATTTCTTTTTTAAAACAATATTTAATGTAAAGATATTTTATAAAGATAAGGATATGTAACTAATTTAATTACAATGTGGTACTTTAAAATATGCAACTGAAGTAATTAAAGTTTTAACAATGTAAATATGTTAATTGAGTAAAGATACATTTACTCGCATTACACTTTTGTGTTATGCATAAAAAATCTCATTGTCTTAGTTTAGGTAATGAGTTTAATACTTTAATTTAACTTCTTGAAATACTACAACATTTTTTATATATTAGTGTAAAATATTATTTTTTATTAGTCTTTTTATAAATAATTTTATTATTATTATTATCAATATAATGCAATTTAAACATTTTTATTTAAACATTTAAATTTAAATATTTTGTATTGTTATAAAATTAAAATTTAAGTACTAAACGGTACGCTAAGCATTGGCATTTAATGATTTAAGTTTATTACTAAACTTGGAAAAAAAGCACAACTTTGGTCAGCTATGGCTAAAGATTCTTGTAAAATAGAAGTACTTTTAAAACTTAGACATCGCACCATCTTACAACATTTTTTTAGCAGGACCTCAAGGACTGGACACCATTTCAATCCATCAGTTATAATTGCTAAAAGATGTGAATGAGCCAATATAATCCTCAAGCACTGGATTATGGACAATTATGGTTAAAATACAACTTTAGCTCAGGATTGCTTTTCAAAAAAAGTTAGGTACAATATCTTTCATGTGTTTTGCTATGATCTCACCCTGGTGATTCTAAGATGAAGGACATGATAAAGTGTACACATTCCTGCTCCATATGTTACTGTTAATGACTAAAAATTTCAGGCTATAGTATGCTTGTATTTGTCTGTCCATCCATCTATTAGTAAAGTCATATATATATACTTATAGTCAATGCTATTATGATCTCAAACCAGACTGCAATGAAGATATTCTAAACTCCTCCTTTACTAAGTGTTGTGGGATGAAGATTGTCAACACCTTCAAGATTTTTTTTAAAGAATTTTAACTTCTCTAAAGTTTTCCTATGATTCTGATAACAAAAGCAGAATCACAGGTTATTAAAAATAAATGGTTATACTATAAAAAAACAATCCCAAACAAATCATTCAAAAGATAACTTTTTGCTGCTTAGTCTAAGCAGCAACAATAAAATTACCAAATGAACTCAATATTTCTCCATTGCTAAGTAACAATTTAAATTTAATTAAAAAAGACATTATTTTGAGGCAGCTGATAATGGGACCAAAGGCAATATTTGGCCTTTGGTTCCACTATCAGAGTGAAAACAAATCAGCTGAAGTTGGCAAGTGCAGAAATCAGCAGTTTTAAAATTTTTGTATAAGAGTAATAGTTTTTTTTATGATTTCATACGGAACGACTTTTTTTACAGTTTTTTGACAATTTATTAACAATATTTATATTTATATGTAATAAATAAAAACAGAAACAAAAAATTAATGAAAGTGTAATCTAACCTGGATATGGAACATCGTTGGACTTGAGTTCTTCTACCTAATTTAAATTATATGTACATATACATATGTATGCATATATGTTTATACATATATATATATATATATATATATATATATATATATATATATATATATATATATATATATATATATATATATATATTAGGGTGTCCCAAATAGTGTTCTATATGATAAAACACTGGATTTAAAAATTTTTTGAACAAAAAATATTTTTAGGGGTCCTAAAGACTTGAACATCAGACGGGTCTCTATAATTATCAAAAAAATAATTCCAAAGTATATCATGTTGTGTCTCAAAAGAAGCGAAATTATATAAAAATTTGTAAAATAGTCACTATTTTATAAAAAAAGCTAAAAAAAATTATAATTAAAAAATCTTGTTAAATTCCTTATTTTGTGTTTTTAGTTGAAAACGTCATTTTCTGGTCACTAAAATCTAAAATAATAATTTTTTTATGAAATGATAATTTTTGTGTGTTTTTTAAATCCAACTACATTTACAATACATTATTGGACTATATCTAAAAGAGAAAGGGCATTATAAAAAATCGACAAATTTGACAACAATACAAAGACGAATATGAGATTTATAGAGGTAGAGAACGAAACCAGAATTAAGAAAATGACAAGCAAGATAAAGAGGCAATCCTAGCCTAATTACCATTATCATCAATCACATGAACAATCATCTCATTGCTCAGTAGTGCATTGATACAGTTCAAGAATTCATTTTGGCTTTATTATATTACAAATGGAACAACTTAGCTCATTAGTTGTAAAATTTAATACTTTGAATTTTCCCAAATCAAGTTTAAATGTATCATTGTTAGACACAGATATGTAATTTTATTAATCAGCTGTTTCTTGTTGAGCGAGTCCAAAACATCAATAGTTTTTAGAGTCTAACTCTTTATTGGGTCATTGTGTTTTTTGCAATTTGCCAGAAGTTTTTTCAACAAAAAAATACATTTTTTCAAAACATTTCTCAATGTTTTCTATGTTATATATTTTTATGCAGGTGTCCAGTTTTGCAAACTCCAACTCACATTTGAGATTAGTCATTGACTAATCTGGAAAAGACAACATCTGGAAAATCAACATTTCTAAAATTTCAGTCAAGATAGTAGCAAAAGACTTTCCTTTGCCACAGTTCAAGTCAACATTGTTTCTTTAATTTGTGATATGTCTTTGAAAAACTCCTACACACCATTGCAGCTTGAATCTTATTTAGTAGTTCTCTGTTATTTTTTTTTCAATTTCTAGTAATTATAATTTAGAAAAAATAATCATTTCACTTATTTCAGCATACATCACTTAACAAATTATAAAACAGTTATTCTGTATATAAACTGATACAACAAGAACAAAAAAATGTCTACTTTTTATCGCTTTAAAAAAGTCTTAGATTGACTGTCTCAAGGTTAAGAACTCTGTTTCATTATTACTTTTTTTATCACTGTTTCAGCAATTGCCAAAGCAAAAACAAAACATTAGAGGCAAAATTTTAAGATCCATCCTTCCATGTATTCTGTGTATAATGACACCAGAGGATTAGTATAACTTAGTCCAACTATGCGTATTGAAGTTGATGGAGACAAGAATACTTTCTGTCCAATTGATATGTCCAGTAGTTTCTGAGCCCCAATTCACTGCACAGTGTTGAAAAACACTTTACTGATAATATAATAATATTACATATGTGCAATATTTTAATATGTTTTGTTCTCAATACGCTTTTATTTGATCTACAGAATGGTTTAAAATCTAAAAATCTATAGCATCTTTTCTTCATCCACAGCATAATTTGCTAGCACTACAAGGAACTTTAGCTTGAATTTGCAGGACCACTGATTGTAATGTGGTTCCCATTGATATCATAAATCATGTGGCTGGCAGCTTCCAAATATCTGTCAAAAGCCCTCATAAATCTGTATTAGTTAGAGCCAACATTCAGTAAATTATATGAAAAAATATATTACATGTATATTTGCTAAATAAATTATTTTTCACCAACTTTTGGCAACTACTTTGAAAAAAAAAAGTAAATTTCTAATCAAAATCACTATAGCAGGCAAATATTTCTTCCTGACTTGAACTTAGCGCCACATTTCACCTCAGAAACAGTTATAAAAAAACTTATTATTCTTACTCAAACAATAAACGTTAGCAGTAAACAGTTAAATTTTTTTAGGTCAAATCTCAAACAATATTGCAATAAACGTTAGCAGTAAACAGTTAAATTTTTTTAGGTCAAATCTCAAACAATATTGCAATAAACGTTAGCAGTAAACAGTTAAATTTTTTTAGGTCAAATCTCAAACAATATTGCAATAAACGTTAGCAGTAAACAGTTAAATTTTTTTAGGTCAAATCTCAAACAATATTGCAATAAACGTTAGCAGTAAACAGTTAAATTTTTTTAGGTCAAATCTCAAACAATATTGTAATAAACGTTAGCAGTAAACAGTTAAATTTTTTT